CAGTACACTCAATTCCCTCATCCAAGTCATACTATTCTCAAGGCTTTGGCACTGCAACACTTTTAACACTGCATCAGAGTTAGATTTTTACTTTTTTCTAATAGGTCAGACTTGGTGAATGGAGCAAGTTCTTATCGTTAGACAAGTTCTTTACATCTGGAGAACACAGAGTAAGTTCAGAGAACCAGATCAGAGAAGACTGTTTCACTTCCTCTCATGCAGTTTCCAAAATGCCTGAGTATGCATCTTAAAATAGTCCTAATCTTAAAATAGTCCTGATCATGCCATTGAGACGTCTTTCTGACTGCACATCTGTCCATGCAACTTTTGTGAGTATTTTGGTAGGAGGCAAAGAGGTGGTGCTGATACTGCTTTGCTCAGCCCCTCTCCCTCACAGCACAGCCATATGTGCTATGGGACATGGGCACTGGCGAGCAAGAGGGTACTGGTAATACTGAAAGAGTGGGTTCATCATTACCACTTTTATGTTTGAAAATGAATACCATATAATAGTAAACTTTTTGAAACTTTTTGAAAGGATGCCAGGAGGTCACAGCTGGGATGTCTGGTGTGGATCCTGAAGTGGTGGAGTATTAACATACATAAAGTTCAGTTTGGTTGTGGCTCAGAGGGTTTTTTGCTCTGGTCTACACTGATTTATTGTGCAAAACAAAAAACTCTCAGCATTTTATCTTGATTTTCAAGGGGTTTTTTTGAGTAAGGTAGTATTTTTTGTATGGGTAGTAGAGATGTGTATTACAGTACTTATATACATTACATTCTGTTTTTCCCCATTACCATAGCTTATAAAGGGGTGTATACTTGGTTAGGGGATATACTTGCCAATAATTTAGGTAAGGTACAAGGAGGGAAAATAGAAGGAAAGCAGTCTGATGCATTACTTTCTACACCTTGTCATTAGTGGAAAGACAATTCATTTCTGATGGTACCTAGGGAAGGAAGCAGTATTGTAGACATGGTGGTGTAAGAATAACAAAAGGGTGAGGTATGTGTAGGAAAGGGATCTATTTCATTAAAGCAATTAACAGAATTAGAAAACACACCCTTTTTGGAGCTCTTTTTCAGAATTGTGTGTTCAACAGGATGCATATATTGTAAGCACATGTGCATGTTAATTACAGTGTGCTGAATGCTGGGTTTGGTTTCTTAAATTATTCTTTTAATAATTTTTGATATTTCTTATCCTGAAATCTCAAGCCATTGTGTGGATGATTAAATCATACTGAATTGAGATAATTAGTCTCTAAAATACATCACTTTGTGAGGTGCTTCTGGATCACGGTAGAAGGGGAAGGGCTGACTTCTCCACTCATATGTTGCAGAGACCAGCATAAAGGTAGAGAAGCTTTGTGCACACACATGTACCAGTCTGCCAAAATCCTGGATAATGTATTGGAAATGTGAAAAAAATACACCTTTGTAATATCATGTCTGTTTATTTCCATTTTTAGATTTTAACCTCATTTTTTTCAGATTGAAATGGCGTTTTTTTACAGAGCCCCTTTGTCACAGGAATTCTTGAAATATGTTCTTGTCCCATCAGTACACAATATAGGAAGACAAACATCATAAAAATGCTAAATACTAATGAAAACTAATGTCTTCAGGATACCAGAATTTAGAAGCACTGGCACAATAAAAAAGTAATCTTTGTCATTCAGTTTAAGCTGATATTGACACAGACAAGAAAATCCTGACTTCATTGTTAATATCTTTTGCTGAAGTAGACAATTTCTCAGTAGGAAACTAAATTATTTACTGTAATAAGAAAATTTAAATACAAATATTATCTTACCTCATATACAAACTACCACTATAAATGGGAATATCCCTTTCTCCTTGAGCTGCTAAGCAGTCACTTGCTTTTTTCCTGAGGATCAAGAGTTTAAACAAAAAATAAATCTTTGTGCACTCAAAGGCAGGTTGTGCCGTGTGTGACTTTTTTTTAATTAGTAAGGCTTTTAAAAGTAGCAGATACGTAAAATAGCACCACTTGTTAAGCTGGTACTTGCAGCTGTTACATGTGAAATGTCTTTAAAAGAAAGTTTTGGATGTATTCAGTGATTTGGAAGGGAGCACTGGGCTCGTAAATTTTGATTGTAGCTTTGATGTTTTCCACCTAAAAGCTGGAATTTGGTTTATCTCCTATTTTTTATGTCTAAAGTGGGGGAAAATAACTTTGTTTTATCTTGTTAAGTCATTGAAGTTTATTGAGTGCTTTGAATACAACAAAACTGTTATGAATGCTGAGTATTGTCTGGCTTTTTCTACACAGTGTTGATAATTTTGGACTTGGTCTTCTGCTTCAGACTAAGCAGATAAAACGTATGGTGTCATCGTATGTTGGAGAGAACGCTGAATTTGAACGGCAGTACTTATCTGGAGAGCTTGAGGTTGAGCTCACACCTCAGGTAAGGAGTGTCTCTAGGAGACTGGTGACTTCTTTTTATCTGAAATACTGAGTACAATAATGCTTAAATGCTCTTAGGAAATTATTTTGGAATCCAAATGTCTTTCCTGTGTCCAGATGTGGAATAAAGGCAGGTGGCACTTGCCATTGTAGGCTCATAGGCTGTAGGCTGCAACTGGTCTGTTAAGAACTGACTGGCCATCTTCTGTCAATTACTTTTATGGCTAGTTACATTATATTAAGTTCATATATATATATATACACATAAACACACACATGCATGTTTTATAGTACAGTGTTTGATTTTTGGTAGTTCCTCCCAGACTGCAAAAAACACATGACATGTGCTCACTAATGTGGCGTGCAGGAAGAAAAGCAGGGAGCTGCTGAATTTGGTGCCAGTTCGTGTGCTTTTGGAGTTGTTGTGTATGCAGTGTCTGCCATCTAGTGGGTAGGAATCAAATTAGATTTCAGTTCGTTGTGAGACAACTCTTTCAGGCTTGTTCATTAAAATCTTAACTAAATTAATCTCTGCATATTGTTATGAGCCAATGTTTACTACTTTACTTTTTAGCACCATAGTTTTAATTATTTTAGCACTGCCAGGTAGTCTGAGATCCTACAATCATGAGTATAGGACACATTCAACTTAGATCTAGTTTTGTGAAACAAGTACTGTAACTTCAGAACCTATGGCATGTTAGTGTACGGCATTTCCAAGGGTGACACACAACCTTTGGGTTTTAAGCAGCAGTTGATTTAAGTGTCTGGGAAAAGCAACCATCTTGAGTTGTTATGGAGAAGACAGTCTTGGGCTCCATGTCTTGGAAATGTCTCTCAGAATCCCAGAGATGGGCAGAAAAGCTCCTCTTATAGCCAGTGAGCTGACATGGAAATAACCAAGCACTTGTGGCTTGTCATGTTAAAAAAGTCCCAAATCTCAAAATTTGTTTTTTCCTTCTTCCTACTTAATATTCAGTGCTATCATCTGTAGAAGACCTTGAACTCCTTAGACATGTAATTGGCTTTGTGGACTGCACAAACACGCTTTGTAAATCCAGCATGAAAATACTGGGCCTACAGTGTGCAATGGTAGATAGTAAGGTGAACTAAAGACTTGCTAGGAGATGCAAAGATTTGAAGCATTTGTGTCAAGCTAAAGTAGCATTTTGGAAAATGGTCTTCAAGTTTGGCATGACTTTAGGCAAAATGGGGTAGTGTTGTGTCCTTGTTACGCAGTAAAGGAGAGGTCATGGTGAGATCTTGAAATGCTGAGACTGCTTCAAATGCAGGACTTTGAGTCACTGCATGGTTTGCATCTGCCCCTCGACACAATTTTGTAAACCTAGCAGGAGTCATTGTGTTTCTTGCAGGATAACGGGGGAAAGTGCAGCTTATGTTTTGGAGGCTGTCAAGCTAGGTAATTGATCATGACAGTCTTGTCTTGCTATGAATCCAGAAAAATATATTAGAAAAGGGAAAAAAACCACTAATAAAAAGCAGGCAGGCATGTCTTTGGCCGTAAGTCCATAATTAAGGCTGATGAGGAATTTGGGCTGTTAATATTCATGTTACAGTTGGACACAGAGCAGAGTGCAGATGGGTTGGTGAAATAGAGTAGAAATGCCATAATGTCAGCTTCTTTGTATTCTTTCCATGGGCAACTCAGATCACTGAACTCCCTTTCTTCTTCTGCTATGCGTGACTGTTTCAATTTGGAGTGAGGCATGAAGTTTTTCTTAACATGTTGGAGAATGAAACATAAATATGTAGCTGTTACAAAACTAAAATCTTCTAGCCAGGTTTTGTAGCCAGGATGGGGAAGAGAAAAAGAACTCTCTACTTTTCTCATAGTAATGGATTGGGAAACAAGCTGAAGGAGATGAGGCACAGTGAAGTGCTGGGGGGTTTGGGAGCTGACAGGGAGTTATGTGATGGTGTGGTCTTGAGCAATTTATTGCCATATGTGGCATTTCTTGCCATATCTGGTATGAATCACACAAAGAAGAGCTAAAATGTGATAAAGACCTAGATGGGTTGATCTGCTGAATGCCAAAACAGAAGTTCCAAATGACAGGATATAAAAATAAGTTAATCCAAGCCATTTATCAGAGTTTGATTCATTTTTCTCAAATGACTGATTCTTAAACATGCTTTCCCATAGGGTACGCTCGCTGAACGTATTAGAGCAGGAGGAGCAGGAATCCCAGCATTTTACACGAGCACTGGCTATGGGACGCTAGTGCAGGAAGGGGGTGCACCTATCAAATACAACACAGATGGCACCATTGCCATTGCCAGCCAGCCAAGAGAGGTAAGACATCAATTTGTTATTAGGAAGTCTTCTGCTCTGAAAACTGAATTTCTTACATATTTCCAAGATAAACAGTAGTTTAAGCATGTCCTAGCCAAATTTAACCATAGTATATTTGATTTACAGGATGTCTGTGATACCAAACACATTAGTTTTTCTCCCACTGCTTGCTTCTGTCCTCTGTGATGGGTTAGAAAGTTTTTACAGCTTTAGGGAGACTTAGTATCAAGAACTGATCTGGGTGAAAACCTGTATTACTGAGTTACTCTTCACTTAGTTCTCTGACCAGGTTTGCTGTGTAATCAAATAAAATATCACTGCTAGACAGTGCACGGTAAGATTAAGAACAACCTCCTGCTAGTGGGGCAGATGCTCCTTAAATACTGTGGTATGGAGAAAGCAGCCCTGCAGCTGTATGTGAAGCTTTTGCATTAGAAGAGATGGGATGTTTTCCTGTTCAACAGGGAAGAGCTCTGTTGACGCAAACTTTCATGAAACACATTTAAAAACAGTTGAAATGCAATTGAGTCTGAGTATTTGAAATTGCAAAGAAAGGAGAGTATAGCTTCCAAGTGAAAAACAAGGGCTTCATATTGAAATTTGATGTAGAATTTGATGAAGGGAGATATTTCTCAGTGCCATAACTGTACTTGAAGAAATGGATGAGGCTAATGCTGTATGTTCCAATTACACTGCTGCAAGTGGCATTAAATTTGACCTCATGAGCGTCTGTGGGATAGAGGTAATTTTTTTCCCCATCATGGCTTTCTAGTATTTTATACATGGCTATTTTCAGTATCTAATCATTAACCTAGTCTTTTTTTTCCGTTAATTCTCTGAATATGTCATTATGATGTTTTACCATTTGAAGAATGTTTTGTTTATTGAATAGCTTATAATTTTGGTAACAATTTTCTTCTACTTTTGTGGAAAAGTCTCTCTTACTCAGTCTTTTAGGGGGCTAATAGTGTGACTAACTTGATTTGATCAATTCCATTCTCCAAATCCATTTTGAATGCAAGTGTCATTTTATAAAAGCTTGGTTCTCCTTTTACAGGACTGAAAAACTGACTTCTGCTATACTTTTGTTGTACTTCCTACCCTTCTCAGAAGTTTTAAATAGCTCTCAAGTAGTATTTGTGTATACTCTAACCTTCTATAATTTTTAAGAGAAATGCTGTTTCATGTTTCTATACAGGATTAAAATACTAGCTGTTTGTCAGTTACATCTTTTGGCTTCAGGCACAATATCATTATTGTATCATCAGTATTGATATAAATGCAGAGAAAACCTAAGGAAACTCAGCCTGTCAGATGATGTGTTTTGAGTACTCTGTCTCAAATTTGCAGTTTCTGGTGGTGGGCAGTGATTATGAACTTTTTCAGCAGTTCTGCTTTAGCACTTCAATTTTTGGTTGGCTGGTAGATGTGCAAGAAAAAGCATGTCTAATTCCAGTAGATGGAGCAGCAGGAACATGGATCTGATTCTCGTTCTGTTTCACTAAACAGAGACACTATGATAGAACTGGAGTTTTCAGCCTTTTCGTGCTTCTGTTATTATACAGTTGAGCTGCAGTTTTTCAGATTAAATGTTATTGAATACAAAAAGAAGCCTCAATATAATAGTCTTTAAAATTAACCCCACAAAATAAATACTACATGGGAGATCTGTTTGAAGAAACCAGCATCTCAATAGTGTACTTTTCTCTGTAGGTGCGAGAGTTTGATGGCCGTCACTTTATTCTGGAGAAGTCAATTACAGGAGATTTTGCTCTTGTGAAGGCATGGAAGGCCGATCGTGCAGGAAACATCATTTTCAGGTATGACTTGTTTACCAGTGGGAAAAGATTCTTTAATGGTTTAGATAATGAAAGAAAAGGAGAATCCTGTCTCCTGTGTGATGGCAAAATAATGTTTTACTGATTTCACTTCTTTCATATTGTCTGTCCCTACTGTCAAATTACACTGCTATAAAAACCAAAATATAATTGCTTTTTCTAATGACTTCTGAGAATTCAAACATAGCTGTGAAATAAAACATTGGTATTTAAAAGGAGACATAGCAGACCAAAGTCATCATGATGACTGCGGAGAAATGTAGTGACATTCTGTCCATTTCAGTTTTCATTAGTTTGAGTCCTTTTCCTTGCAGAATTGGAGGCTGACCCAAGAAATGCAGGTCCATGTATGTCAGCAGAGAAGGGAGCTGAGTCGGTCTCCTGGCCAGTCAGTGACAGGAAAACTATTCT